GGACCGGCAGCACGGAATCACGGAATTATTGGAGTTGGACCTTCTAGAGATCATCCAGTCCAACTCCCCAGCCAAAGCAGGGTTGCCCAGAGCACATCACTCAGGAGCATCCAGGTGGGGCTTGAAGGTCTCCAGAGAAGGGGACTCCACACTCTCCCTGGGCAGCCTCTTCCAGGGCTCTGCCACCCTCACCCTAAAGAAGTTCTTCCTCAGATTGGAGTGGAACTTCCCATGGTCCAGCTTGTGCCCGTTGCCCCTCGTCCTGTCACTGGGAACCACTGTCCAGCCTCATCCTCCCTCAAACCACCTTTTAGATACTTCTCAGCATTAATAAGGTCTCCCCTCAGCCTTCTCTCCAGGCTAAAGAGTCCCATCTCTCTCAGCCTTTCCTCATCAGGGAGGTGCCCCAATCCCTTAATCATCTTTGTTGCCCTACGCTGGGCTCTTTCCAGCAGTTCCCTGTCCCTCTTGAACTGGGGAGCCCAGAACTGGACCCAGTATTCCAGTTGTGGCCTCACCAGGGCAGAGCAGAGGGGGAGAATGACCTCCCTTGACCTGCTGGCCACACACTTCCCTACACAGCCCAGGATCCCATTGGCCCTCTTGGCTGGTACAACCATTTAAGTGGCTCGAGCACCATGTTCTGCCTGTTCATTGTGGTTCTTCCAAAAAAAAAAAGAACCCCAGGGTTGCTCAGAGTTTGTTTTTCAGGGATTTGTCTCAGTGCTCACAGCAATGGGGCTCGGCTCAGTTGGTAAAATGCTTTTCTCCACGTGTTGTCGCAGCAGCACTGAAATACTGCTTCTGCTGTGGAGCCCTTTGGGATTCACAAAGTACAGCGAAGCATTTTTGTGGTATTTGTAGAATAAACTTTGGGTAAAAAATAGCTTGGCATTTATTTCTTCCCAGGCTTACCCTGTGCCCCATTTTTTGGGAATGGCTTTTGCTCTACATACGTGACTTGATGGAAAAAAAGACTCTATGATTTTTAGGTGATCATAGGCTTCCACGCTCTGCTTCCCTGCGTGTTTACCAAAATTTGTAGGGTGGTTTTCTCTGTGTCTGACTTCTACTGATAAACATCTGCCGGGCTGTGTGAGCAGGGTGGGTGCCAGCACCCAGCAGAGGTTATTGTTGGTCACAGCTGGGATCCGAGACACCCAGAACACCATTTTCTGCACAGCTTCAGAGGAGGGTGTGTGCTGAGAAAGAACCCCCTAGGTCTAAACTTGCTCCTGCTCCCTCTGTGCTAACGGTGTCACCCACAGGTTTGCAGAATGATCACAAGGCCCTGATGAAGCAGGTGGAGGAAGCTCTTCACCAGCTGCACGCCCGGGAGAAGGAGAAGCAGGCCAGGGATGAGGCGGAGGCGTTGGCTGAGGCAATGAGCCAGGCCCAGAGCGTGCCACAGGCATTTGCCAAAGTGAACGCGGTGACTCCAGGGTCTCCTGCAAGTATCTCGGTGAGTTGGTGGGGTCTGACAGCCTGTGGGGGAGGCTTCTTCTGGACCCAGAGAGAAAATGTAGCCGATGGCTTTCTCTGTCACTTGTTAATAAGTGGGAATAAGTTGCAGGTTGATTAGGGTTCCCCTCCCCCTTTCTTTTTTTGGTTTTGTCACACTGAGATGTACTGTCGCTGTGCAGGAATGAGATGAGTGCTTCCTTCTCAGCTCTTGCAAGGCCTCACTGGCCATTCTAGCCTCCATGTTTCTCTCCTCATGAAGTAGCACAGAGGAATGAGTACTTTCTTCTCTAAGGACATGGAGAGGGTGTAAAGTAGTTCAGTTGTTGAATGGTGAGAACAGTGTCGTAGCGCACCTCTCTGCACGTGGTGGTGTGAAAGTGATGCTCCTGTGGTGTTACCTGTTTTTGGAGAAGGCAGATGCTCATCTTCTCTCTCCTGTCTCTGTCCAGGGACTTCAAGTCGACGATGAGATTGTGGAGTTTGGTTCTGTCAATGTAAACAACTTCCAGAACCTGCAGAACATCGCCACGGTGGTGCAGCACAGCGAAGGGGTGAGCTCACTTCTGCCGTAACTGTGTTCTCTTGCCCATCTCTGTCAGCCACAGCTTTTGCTGTGGAACTTCGATCGCTGGGATCATCATTTCCATGTCAGAAACAGTCTCAGATCCAGTCTGTGCTGTTGTAGCCCTGTTGTCTCACAGCATTGGGATTGTTGGATAGAAGAGAGCTAAGAGGTGTCTGCTCTTTGCTGTGACCATCGTATTATCTCTTCTCCCCTGTGGACTCCTTGCAGCTGCAGGCTGCATTGCTGTGCCACCCTCATGGACAGGCCAAAGAAGCTGCCACAGCCATCAAGGGCTTTATAGTGGAAGTGAGGGACCTCTTGGAGATGTCTCCACACTAAATACTCCCTCCTTCCAGATCTAGCCATGGGGGTGGGAATGAGAGCCGCTGAAGAAGAGCTTCTCTGTACTGAATGTTCTTCTGGTGTTTCAGCAAAAGAACGAAGAGGGTTGACTTGGTGATGAAAAGTTGCAATGTCTTATTCTTTTATTTTTCTTCTCCCTTTCAGAGACCCCTGAGTGTGACTGTGCTCCGTGGCGGCAAAAAAGTGCACGTGGGGCTGACTCCAAAGCGCTGGGCCGGGAAGGGCCTCCTGGGGTAAGCTGCTGTTTCTCTCACCAGAATGGGTGAGGCTTTCACCCAGCTCAGAGCAGGTTTCCTGCGGCTGGGCCAGCTCTCTGCTTTGCTCTCAGCATGTGCTGCTGCCCGTCAGGGGGACTTCACTGGTGGGTACTGGCTGGGAGCCGGAGGCTGACAGTTTTGCACAGTGATGTCAGGGGGTGAGCTGTGTCAAACGTGAGGACAGGGAGGAAGATCTCAGTGGCTAGTTTGGTTAGAGGAAACCAATGGAGGAGGGTTGTGGTGGATCTGATTCATGCCGTGTCAGATCTTCTGTGCCTGTTTGAGAACTGAGACGTTAATGTTTCCCTCTACCCTCTTCTTTTTCAGCTGCAATATCATTCCCTTGCAAAGATGACCATTGCTTGGAAAACAATAAAGCTGAAGCTTGTGCCTGCTTTCTGGACTCTGATTTGAAAACTTCCCCATGCATTTTTGCTGAAGCAAATGTTTCAGAGGCTGTGACCTCTACGTGCCAGACTGAGTCTGAAGAGGTTCTGCTGGAGCAAGGTCTGACTGCAGTTCAGAATTGCACTGGTTCATCAGCAGTAGGTTGCAGAGTTGCAAGATGGGGCTTCTCTCTTACACCTTGTGTTAGTTTGGAATGAGGCTACAGGGAGACCCAAACTTCACTTGACACACCAAAGAGCGTTAAGTGCTCTTAATTGGTGATAATGGAGCATTCCTCCTTTAAAATTCACCCCCCTTTAAAATTCCTCACTAAATATCTTGTAATATATGCTAAAAAGTCCTGGAGCACTTCTGGTGTCTGTAATAGTAGATCACAGTCAAGAAATATGCAAGTTGATACTTTATCTTCCCTGTGTTGCCACAACTTTTGAAGTCACTGAACATGATGAAAGAATTTTTGGAACACTGAACACTTAATTATTTTAAGTTAGTGGTATAATGAATGGGGGTTATAATTCTACTTTGCTTTTCTTTTAGTATTTTATGTGGTCATGATAAAAATACTCCTAACTTGATGACTTTTTAATTTTGTTTTAGTTTTTTTTTTTTTAATTTGTGGTGGTTGATTTTGGGGTGTATGAACTCTTCAAGGGGATTTCTGGGATGACTGGTTTGTCGTAAGTTTGTTTCCAGTTGAACTTCAAAATCACTCTTCCGAAACAATAAAACAGAGTAATACCTCTCTCCATTCTAGTAGAAATCATTATTTTGGACAACAATTGTGGGCCAAGTCGGGTGGGTTAAATGCAGATCTGCACAGACACAGTACTGTGATCCCTTGGCCTTCCAGAGCTGAAGCCCAGGGAAGGTGTGAGTCTTATGCACGTGCGGCATAAGTAACACATCACACATAATGAGCAATTTTGTTATAATTGTTGTTAACCAGACCTGAAACAGGCTGAAAAAGTGGACTAAACCCCAGAGATTCAAATTACTTACCCAGGGCTCTGTGTTAAATTGAGGAGGTTTACCCTTCTGATATTTCAAGCGTCTGTGTTTCAACGTACGGTCCAACGGAGCAGCTTCTCATTGAACGGGTGAAGCTTCAAAGCAGAGCTCCTTCCTTGGTGATTCCTGCAGTGCTTTGTGGAGGAAGCACTGCTGTAGCAGCCCAGGGCAGTCTTCCTCGGATGAGATTATTTCTAGATAATCCACATCGAACACAGTCTTACCCTGGTCTGTCTTAGCTATTCATGTTTTGTCCTTTCAAATCATGTTAAAAGGGCTGAAATATGGCACTGTTTCCCTCCCATCTCTTTTCTTGAAGAATAACTGAGAATGGGAGGTGTTTTAGGACCCTCTGTCTCATGTGCATCCTGCCTCGCTTCACCAGAGCAACTCTGAGGCTAAACCTGCGCTGCTGACCTGCCCTGGGTGCTATGACCCACAGAGGCCACTGCAGCTCCTAAATCCACTGTCAAATCCCACTGGGAAGCAGTGGGGTATCCCCATCTGTAGCTACAAGGTAAGTACCCCTGTGGGGGTCATTCTGTAGGAGGCTGAGTCTCTGGTGGGACCACAGTGCCAAGAGGCTTGAGTAAAACAAGAATTCTTAAATGCATGTTGTATCAGGTGCGGGAGCGTTGTTTTCCACAAAAGAGGTTTTTGTACCTGTAGATGCTGTGATTTCTTAATGTGGCTGCAAACTGCCCCATCTTCTGTCCCTGTAAAACAGAATGTAAGTGTAAGTACGTGGATAAACTGGGTATCAACGCGCAGCTGAAGTGTTGGACCATCAAGGATCTGCCTTGGCCACGTGTACTTGGAAATGTGTCTGGTTATCCCAGCTGTAGCCAGCTTTGACCTGAGCCTCAGGTGAATCTGGGCCTCGATACCAATCCAGGAGAAGAAAAACCCACGGGATGCATCCTTCCAGGCCTTCGAGTTTGTGCCTCCTGGGATGAAATGATCTAGAAAATCCCAGCTTTCTGTACTGTTCCTGAAATGAGGTTAGAGGGTCAGTCCAGCCCCACCAGCCGGGTTAATCCCAACTCTCAGGGAGCTCATTTTCCTTTCCCTGTGGAGGGTGTTGAAGGCTTCAGAGGGCTCTCAGCTCTGCAAGGCTTTTATAGGGTTAGGGGACACACTTCTACGTCCCAAGCGCTGCATCTCCAGCCCCTCCAGTTGTGTGTCCTGACCAGAACAGGTTCAAAGATCCCAACAAGTGTAATAAACACAGATTCTGTTGCAAAACCTGCTGCGGGTAGGTAAGCTTTGAGCTTCTTCCTTAGACCACGTTCAAACCTCTGCCACAGAAAAGGAGCTGCTCTCAGCCAGAATAAACAGGATTTTCATGCTGGAGGGCAGAGGTGACTCCTTGTACCCCATAAGATCAGGGAACGTAGCCTGGATGATGTTGCCTGGGAAGAAAAGCACTGTGTCTGAGCAAGCTGGATGTGCAGGAGCTGAGGAGCCGAACGAGGTGGCCTTCTTGCACCTAGGAGAGACGGGTGCAGATCCCTGCTCCTGAAACCATGAAACTGCCCCGATTTGAAGCAGCAGGTTGAGCCACAGAGGAGGAGCTGAAAGCACTTTGGACGTCCTGCCTCTGCGCGGCAGCCTCTTCAGGTCGAGGAGATAATTTGAGCTGGTAACAAAACTCCTTTCATCTCCCAGCAGGGTACGGGGCTCTTGCTGGGCAGAAGGAAAAACAAATTAGATTTAGAAATTGTTATTATTTGAGCTTAACAGCAAGGCTGAAGTCAAGAGGTAGGAGTGCTTAGAGCTGGTTATCTGAGGTGGTGAAGAAGATAGCTCAGAGTGAATCCTAGGAATGGGATCCCCTGTGCAAGTGGCACCCTGGCATAGAGCTGGGAATGGCAGGGGGGGGCCTGGTGGTGGCTGGAGGCTGATTTCTCTTGCTTTGACTCTGCTTGTCCTTTTCAGGGGTGCTAAGGGAGCAGGAGATGCCTACAACCCCCTGGGCAGGGGCACTGGGTAAAGATCCCTCATCCTGTTCCCCAGGGAGGGTGAGGGTCTGGTCTCCAAGGGGTCCGGCCATGGCAGGGGGGGCTTCATCACAGTCACGGGCAGGGTTTAGGCCTGGGGAGGGCGAAGGGCTCAATGGCCCCCCGCCACCAGGTTCCTGCTTTGGGTGGGGGACAGCACTGCCCCTCCATGGCAGCGGGTGGGGAGGAGGAGGAGGAGGGTCCCCCCTTCTCTCCCTGTAGAGCCCCCCCGTCTCTCCCCGGTGCTCTCTGGGCTGTCGCTGGCGGCGGCCGGTGCAGCTGTTGGTGCAGCCGTTGCCTGGGAACGGCGGTTGGAGGCAAACAGAAGCAGGGACTGGTGTGACGGTGAGCTGTGGGGTCCCCAGGGGGGTTCCTCGGGGTGACGGGAGGACAGGGGCAACTGGGGAGCCACCAAGGCCTGGAGGGGGCTTGGGAACAGCTCTGTGGTGGCCCTGGTGAGAGCTGTGGGGCTGTGACCATCCCTGAGCACCCACCCTGTGTGCTGGGGCCGGAGGGAGGGTTCTTCCCTGGGCCCCCATTCTCACTCCTGTGAAAGTTTTCTGTGCCCAAAGTTTTGGTGGTGGCTCAAATCCAGACCTGTGGAGCCAGAGATGGACCAGCTGCTGCCCAGGGGTAGCCCTGCTGTTTACAGGGACAGTGACAAACCACCACCTGAGGGGAAATGTCCATGCCCAGTGAGGCGTGCGGGCAGACAGGGAGGGAACCTGGTCGCAGCTGGAGTAGCAGGGGCTGTGCTGGGCTGGCTTGTGCTCAGCAGGAGCATCACTGGAGTTGAAGAAGGGCTCTGAGATGCATTTCCCAGCTTCGTGTGTGCCCTTTCCTCCTGCTGTTTCGAATTCCAGGTCGTCGTGCAGCCAAACCCTGGGTGGTAAGTGAAGTATTTTGGAGCATCTCCACACCCCAGCTCCCTGAAAGGAAGGTGAAGGTGGGGATGTCAGGTCAAGTGAAGCTACACCAGAGGAGAGAGCTTGGGGAAGAACAAGAGTAAGCAGTGATCCCATGGAGACATCCCAGGATGGACAGACAGCTCAGGAGGTGGCCATGCTGCCTAAGCAGGTGAGGGCAAGTGCCACCTCAAGCTCTGCCCAACAGGGTCTGTGAGCAGGTCCTGAAGGAAGCAGAGCCCCCAGGAATGGGGGGGTGGTGTCTCCCAGACATGATTTCTTGTGAGATGTCCCCAGGGTGGCAGAGCAGGGACACTGCCCGTGGGACTCAGTGGACGCAGCATCTCTGTGCAGCCTCAGTCCAGCCATCAATATTTGCCCAGCACTTGAGCTGCCTGAGAGTTACATGAGCAGGAGGGAACCTGGCCTTGTCCCTGTGCTGGGCGAAGTGTTATCTTACCTCCCTCGGAAACAGAAACGGTGTCCAACTGAGGTTTATACCTTACGTGAGAGATTGCCATAGAAAATCAAGTAGCTCCATGGGGAGAGGCAAAAACTGATGTGGATCCCAAGAACAAGCTGAACTGGCTGGTGCTCAGACAGGGAAAGGCTGTCCAGGAGCTGCTGTGAGCTCTGACAGCCCAGGGCTATTTAATACACCTATTAACATCCTGACGAGGGGCCAAGGAAGGCGATGGTGAGATTTTTTTTACCCTTGCTTCCTATCTGCTCGATGGGCAGCACAGCAGGAGACACTGGGAGCGGAGCTGGGATTGCTGGAGAGTCCTTTGCAGCCTCCTCAGCCCCAGTTCCAGGACCTGATTCATCTGTTTTGAACCTCAATTTGTCATCACTCCCCCTCCAGCCTGTGCCTGTGTGTCCCACTGCAGCAGTCAATGACCATTGTCTGGGGAATAATTAGGGGATGGACAGCAAAAAGGCCAGGCTTTTTGCCTTCAAAGGATCTATAGGTTAGTTCTAGAGAATAAACTTGGGCATCTTAGTCTGGGCAATAAGATCTGCCTGGAAGAGGTTCTGGTGTGAGACACGGGCTGCTGTGGAGGTGCAAAGAGAACAAGATTAGATGTACAGAAAGAGAAACAGCAACTGGTGGGAAATTTTCCATGGTATTTTTTTCCCAGGTACAAATCCATAGGCAGTTTGGATAGGAGCAGAGGTGTATCCTGATATTGGGGCCTGCCCTGAGAGTGATGTAGGTTGGATCTGAGGTGTGCTGAGGTCCATTCCCACCAGCTGCAGGGCAGCCCCCAGCCAGACCAACCCAGGGCTCCTGGGGCTGGCATTCACTCTCTCTTTTCAAGGACCTCCTCGCTGCTGCCAAGGAGAAGGAAGGAGCACCGGAGGATGCTGGAGCAGATGCACTGTTGGATGTCCTGCGGTCTCCTTCAGGGACAGGGATCCCAGGTACCTTGCCCAGCACCTGGGCTGGGAGGCAGGACATAGCTGCCTCAAGGACTACCCTGGCGGAGACACTGCTGGGACATTGTGCCCAGAGGGTGCTGGACTCCCTGGGCCACCCCAGCACTTCCTGAGCCCAAGGAGGGTATTTCCAACCCTTGCTCAGGCTACAAGGAGCAGGAAACACAGCAGAGGAGCAGGGAGGATGGCCAGCGTGATGGTTCTGCCAGCTTGGTGTGGGCGGCCACACCAGGGATGCTCTTCCAGGAGGACAAACAGACCAGACTTCACCCCCTCGTGAGTACCAGCAGGCACAGTGCCACTGTGACGGTCCGCATGGCACCTGGCACTCCTGCCCATTTCCCCTGAGACCTTGTGTGGCTTTTCTGTTGCAACCACTAAGAGCCAGGAGTGTC